AGATCTTGCAATTCGACTATCACAGGTGAGATTATTTTACTTACCCTATATGGACCGCTGTATTTTCTGGATAACTTAGCAGCGATTCCTTCCACCTTGTTTGATAAGGGGTATTCTCTTTTATAGACTGTCTCCCCTACCTTCGCCTGATATGGCCTCCTGCGGAGGTTGTAGTACCGTCTTTGGTCACTGAAGGCCTGCCCCAGATTGTTGCGGACTACTTGATTCAATTCAGGAAGCTGTTGTAAGCGGTTATGATGTTCTTCAGCGGCACCGGAGTCTTCCGGAACCGGTAACACTTCATGACAAGAGCGTGGGGCTAATAGTTCTCTCCCACAGCTCAGCATAGCGGGCGTGAATCCTGTGGATCTTTGTTTGGCGGTGTTCAACGCGAACATAATTTCTGGAACGGTCTGATCCCAAGTTCGTTGATTTCCCTGACTTTGCTGAGCCAACATCGTCCCAATGACTTTATTGGTTCTTTCTACGGCATTACACTGGGGTGAGTACGGGGGTGTGAATCTTGCCGTAATTCCAAGGTGAGCTAAAAATTGTTTATAGGCGGTGCTGGTATATTGGGGCCCATTATCCGACACTATTATTTTAGGGGAGCCATGGCGAAAAATGATTCTTTCTCTTAAAGCCTTAATAATATGAGGAGTAGTGGCTTTTCTTAAAGCAACCATCTCCGTCCACTTGGTGAATCGATCTTGAAACACCAATAAAAAGGTGTTTCCATCTTTCGACCGGGGAAATGGTCCCATTAAGTCTGTGTGTACTACCTCCCATGGCCGGGTACAAGGGAAGAAATGCATATGTCCGGCGGGTGGTCTGGAAGAAGATTTAAAACTGTTGCATACCTTACATTTGTTTACGTAGTTGCGAACATCTCGGGATACTCCTGGCCAGTAATAATTTTGAAAGACTCGATTAAGGGTTCGAGCCACTCCCGGGTGACCAGAATGGGGTACATCATGACATTCTTGCAAAATACGCTGCCGGTCGGGCTTTGGTATACATAATCTTAAACAAGTATGCAACCTCTCACTGGTTTCAATATTGGCCGTTGGAAAGCACCTAAAAAGTTTGCCTTCGAGGATCTGGTAATCCGGAAACTGGTGAGGGTGGGTCTGGACCTGATTAAACTGCTTGGTGTACCACCCACAAGGGGGTTGAACCGGCTGATCTTCGATCATAGCACCGACTGCTTGAACTTCGTCCTCTTTGTGCAATCGGGACAGGGCATCAGCTACTTTATTCATGGAACCTGGATGGTAGATGATGTCAAAATCGAACTGTTGCAATTCCATGATCCATCGAGCTAAACGAGAAGTGGGTTTTTCCATCGTCTGCAACCACTTCAAACTTCGATGGTCGCTAATAACGGTGAACTTGTAACCCTCCAGGTAACTTTTTAATTTCGTTATGGACCACACTACCGCTAAACATTCCAGCTCGATGGCGGAGTAATTTCGTTCGGCCGGTGTTAACGTACGACTAATATACGCTATGACTTTTTGTCCTTCGGCTTGGTCTTGGAACAATATGGCTCCCAGTCCACTACTACTGGCATCGGTTTGCAATTGGAACGGCACTGAAAAATCGGGACACCCTAAAATGGGTTTAGATACAAGGGCGGCCTTTAGTTCCTCAAAAGCTTGTTGTTGTTTTGCGGTCCACTGGAACTTTACATCTTTCCTCAACAGATGAGTCAGTGGCTGGGCAATACTGGAGAACCGGGGAATAAATTTGCGATACCACGATGTCAATCCCAGAAAACTTCGAAGAGTCTTGACAGTATGTGGAACGGGCAAGTCTTGTATTGCTTGTATTTTCGCCGGGTCAGGTTGTATTCCATGTCTATTTACTAGGTGACCTAAATATATTAGTTCTGGTTTGCAGAATTCGCATTTTTCTGGCTGAAGGTCAAACCCCAACGTCGCAAACGTTGGAACACTTCTTTCAGGTTCTCCAGGTGTTCTGCAAAGGTTTTACCTAACACAATAATGTCGTCTAGGTAAGCAAACGCTTTGTTCTCGAGATCCGGGCTAATTACTTTATCTAGAAGCCTCTGGAAGGTAGCGGGAGCAGAATGTAGCCCAAAGGGCATAACTTTGAATTGGTACAACCCCCGGCCAGGTACTGTAAAGGCGGTAATGGGTTTGCTACCTTCGTCAAGGGGTATTTGCCAATATCCCTGACGAAGATCCAAGGTGCTGATAAACCTAGCGCCTCTCAGTTTTGACAGGATACTTTCAATCATGGGTAACGGGTAACTATCCTTGGTGGTGTATTGGTTAACCTTTCTGAAATCAATACAAAAACGGTACTTTCCATTAGACTTACGGACCAAAACGACTGGCGAGGACCACGGGCTATTAGAGGGTTCAATCACGCCTTCTGCAAGCATGGATGCGACCTCGTCATCCATTATTTTCTGCATTGCGGGATTTCGGGGATAATAGCGTTGTTTACATGGCTCGGTATCGGGTTTTAGACTAATGCGATGAAGTACACCTTTAGCAAGACCTGGGGCATCGGGGAATTTCTGGAGTTCCACCTGCAAAAAATCATTAAGGGTCTGCAGCTGTTCGGCATTTGGGCCACTAATGCCGGCGATTCTGGAATGGTCGGGAACTTCGACTTCGACCGGAGACTTCTGCATCGTCACCTGAGAGCCTCCTCCGATTTCTAGGCTTCTCTTACGAAGATCTAGGCGAGCTTGGTAAGTTCCCAGGAAATCTAATCCTAGTATAAAGTCAACGTTCAAGGTAGGCAGGTAAATCGCGTTCACCATCCAACTCTGATCCGCTATAATAACCTGGAACTGGAAATTTCCCATGGTTTCAACAGTCGTTCCATCGGCCATCTCAGCAGTTCCTTGGGCTACAGAAGTGGGGTAAATTTGATTACGGTTCAAAATGTTTTTAACGGATGCTCCAAAATAGGTTTTGGCGGAGCCGGTATCAATTAAAGCTGAAATCATTTGGTTACATAGCTGCAACTTAATAAAGAGTCTGGTATCTGGGGGATTAATGGCGGTTATGGGTCCAAGTACTGGCGGGTAAAAACTTTTAACGGTAGCAAGCCACTCATGCCATCCTTGCAAATCCCTTGTATACGGATTGGCTGGAGCCCTATGCTGCAGAGGACGCCTTACTTCCTCGGCGGGCGATTGACGTTTCCCGAAGGTGCTCGTCTACAATCGCACTCGCTGGAGTAGACGTCGGGTTGGTTGCACCTAGAGCAGAATTTCCTAAAGGGATTCTTACAATGGAATCTCCAATGTCCCGGTTGGCCACAATTCCAACACACTTCGGCTCTGTTATACTGGACCGATGCAAGATTTTCGTGTCCCGAAGAAGCAGTCAATCTCTTTTCGATTTCCTCCTGGTCGATCACTCTCGGGCCAGGACGGGTAGAAAACAAGAGAGGTTTGGCTGCATTCGGGAGAGGTAATGGCGGTGATTCAGATCTGGCAAGAGTCGGTCGGGCTAAGGGTAGAGGTGCAGGTCTAGGGGTTATTTCGGCAGGTTTGTTGAGGATAGCTGGCTTAATCAGATCCTTCTGTGACACTACCTGTTCATATTCCTTTCCCATCTCCAGGATATCGTATACCGATTTCACCTCTCTTCGTTTAATGTATAGCTTGTACTCGGGTCGGAGATTTTCATGAAGACAATCGACCTGCTGTTCCTGCGAATAGTGACCATGGCGGCGCAGAAGTGTCATCATGGCCGTCACGTACATGGGCACATTTTCTTTCAACCCCTGGGTACGAGTACGGATCTCTTCTTCCAACCGAAAAGCATACCTAGGGGGATAGAATTGATCCTGGAAGGCTTTGACGAACTCGTCCCAGGTGGTAAATCGGTCACGGGAATTTCGGTACCACAATAGAGCGGTATCTCCAAAGATCAAGGCTATGGTGGGTAATAAACAGGCATCACTAATTCCATACCCCATTCTTAATTCTTCTAGTCGTTCTAGAAAGGATACTGGGTCTCCTTTGCCATCGAAACGTAGGCCCCATTTCCGAACTTGCTCCCATAGTTTCGCCGTATCATTCCTAGGTGGCGGTGGTTCTGTTACGGGGACAGGTACCTGGAGACGGGGTGATCTGGGACGCGCTGGGGTCGGGTCCGTAACTTGGCCTTCCCCCGTTTTCAAGAAGGTAACGAGCCGTTGTTGTAATTCTGGAACATTCCCCCCTGTTTCTAACTTAAACCGGCGGGCCTCGGTCTGCAGTTGCTCCTTTTTTAACGCAAACACCCAACTAAATTTAACGTCCATTTCTGGAGGTACAACTGGATCGGTTTCAGTTTCCGGCATCTTCTGTTTGGATTTTTAAACGGACTGGTGGGTACTCGAGCGCCAACCAAAGAGAAGATTTTGCAGGTAAAGCGGGCAATAAAACTAAAATACCTAAAACTAATATGTACAGGAAAATAAAAATAAAGTTAATGCTGAAATAAATAAAAATAATTAATTCTGGACCGGTGTACAGGAGGTATTATCTATAATAAAACCAAATTTATGTATTATACCTTTTAGGGTGCAGGTTCAGAGTCCGCTGCTCGGCGCGCCAAATTATGTGAGCAACCCTGGGTACGTTCCGGCTTTTGCCCACAGCCTCGGGTAGCGTCGGGAAATAATTGGCGAGCAAAGAAAATTAAAAGTGTATTGTCTAAATAGAAATAAAAATATATATATACAAAATAAAATAATATAAAAGATTTCCGGAGCAGTCCTCGTATTTACTTGGGGAGTACTGCCATCTGCCGGTAGTTATCTGGCCCCAGCGTGTCAGCGGGTTTGCTGTCAATGCCGTTTTCGTGTCGGACTGTAGGTTAATTTCCACGTGCAGTGCTGTCTAGAATGTAACAAATTAATTGATGCGGGATTGAGGGCTGCGCCACCCGAACGGGGTAACCAACAGAACCTGCGGGATGAGTGTTCGAACTGTAACAACTAACCTTTCACGTGACGGCTTTCAGCCCCTTATGGCTAACGTAGGCGGGAGCACTGTGCCCCAGGTTTATGTAGGACGGGGTGACGGGAATATACTACGGAGGTGTACTTCCTTTAAAACCAGGAGTCACGCTCCGATTTTGTTTTGAAGACACGGACAGGTAGGAACGTACGGAGAGTAATCTTGAGGAATACCTGTTGTAGTAACCCGTTCGCTAGGGAGTACACCTAGGAACTGGAATTACTCGGGGAATTGGGAACTGGTCAGAGTAATAGAGGTAACGGCTTGCACGTTTTAATAAAGGGTTGAAAGATTGTTGTTTTAATGACACTATAAACACTCACTCACCTTACGGCTAATTACGATTTACCTCCTAGGGCTAACGGCAACACACTCAACACAGGGAACGACATGGGGTGCAGGTTAACAAAGGTTTTACAGGAAATGGAATGACGGTTAAAGGTGCAGTAATCAATGACAGGTAAATCAGGCTGGTTAATAGGAAAAGGCACCGGTAAAGGTAGAAGCAAAAGTTACAAACACTGGAGATCTGGTGGGGGAAGACGATTAGGAGGGGCGAAATTAAGTGGAAATATCTGGGGGAAATCTTATTTACTGGTTTGGGCAGATTATTTCCTCACCCTTAATTTCGTTTCCTCACAAGTGAAACCTATTTTGAGATTTATTATATTATATACAAAACAAATTTTTAACTTTCGAAAATGATGCGTTTCATCGAAGAAGGTAGGGTGAAAAAATATGCATTTCGTTCACTTGTCGAGAAAATAACTTTAATAACAACCAAAATTTTCACCCTTAAAAGCGCGATTGGTACATTTGTACACGTCACTCACATGACGGTTAACGTCAGAGTAACAAAAGTCAGGGCTTTAAAGTGTAAAACCGTTGACCTTGGCGAAATACCACAACTTAACTGAGATAAATATTCCTAAAGGAAATTCCTAGTGTTTTGGACAAATAACTAATTCCCGTACGTCAATTAATGAAGAAAAAAATTAATGAATATTTTTATATATCACATGTTCCCAAAGATAGAAATAAAGTATCTAGAAAAAACATGCACCTGAAAGATCAAAGTTTGAAATAACAACACATCATTTATCAAGGAAAGAGAAATTTATGCACCTTAGGCAAGGTAAATCAATAAGATAATGTGGCACCTTCATTAAAGCGAATATATAAATGGGTCGTGTAACAGCGGGTCTTCAATTGGCAGCCCCGTTATTAGGTGCATTTGTAAGTATACGGGCTTGAAGTGTTTCGCCCATTGTCGAGAAGTAAATGGAATAATTGAAAAACACAAATGATTGATCTTGTACAATGAAATATCAAACACGGGGACAGAGTTGAAAGGAAAGTTTATTCATCAATTATCAAAATACACGAATCTCTGCAAACCCTTTAAGTGCTTAACAAGCGTGATATTAGCATTGACATTTGAAAAGTAGCAAGTACTTAGAACAAGTTTCCCATTTTGTCTCAAAATTACTTGAAACCCAAGAATAGATTTAGAAATAATTTATTCGCGAGGAGAATATTATACAATGTTTGTCTCATTCTATAGAAAATAAGCTTGCTCGGTGATATACATTGTAAGTTTCCCACACTGCTTCGTGTCTTAAGAGAAATTAGTTAATTTTGCGCTCTGAGCACTCATGAAACTTAATATCTGTCGTTAACCTTCCTTATTAATACTGCAGTTTGTGTAGCTTCACCGCCATGAATTTGTATATGTACAAATTATGTGATATATAATTTTATATAATTAAAGGGCGTACAATTTGCTTGAATAGAATTGCAAATTAAATTAATTTTGGCGGGAAAATTAAGCACAGAAATGTTATCTAGCGAAAAATAACGAAGATCCCTTATTTCATAATGCTACTCTTGCTTTAATACTTCTATAATTAATGCAACAATACACTATTGAGTGCATGCCCGTTCTTCAATCTAACCAGCTCTATTTTAGGTGGAGTGTACTTTTGTTAAAAGTTTCTTACAGTAAAGGGTATTGTCTCTCCATCTGTCCATGTATTCAATTGCTTTATAACCAGGAGTGTTAAACTGATCTGGTAAAATAAGCATTGTAAATGCGATCTACTAGTGTTTTAGTAAATACGAGTACAAGAGTAAGGAAGGATTTCTGGAAGTGAAACTTTCGTGAAATAAAAAACATACGAAAAGGTACAGTGAAAAAAGAAACTAAAAAAATTCCAGATACCTTTTTGACCACAAAGTGATGGACAGAACGATACGAAACAAATATTAATTAATGGAGATGTGTGAATTTAGGATAAGTAACATATAATTATGTCCACACATGCGAAGGGTTTGAAGTTAATCCTTGTTCTTAATTATCCTTTACCCCTGCATGCTATTTCTTTATACAAGCCCCAATGCTGTTCGTGCTCTTATAATTCTTTGAAGGATCAGCGTAGCAGAGCATTAAAAGTTGGAAAGAAGAAAATTCAATTACGCTTGTACAGGATTTTACTTTTAATATAAATTATGTAGCAATTTCTGCGTAATTATGGAAAAGCCTATAATTGCGGAAATCATTAACTTTGTATTTATTAAAAAAATATATAATTAAAAAAGGACACGGTTTTATTAAATGAGACATAATCTCTTTTTAAAGTTAAATTGTGAAAAGTTCCTTTTTTCTTTAGTTACTAAAATTAAACATGAAGTTCTAGTTCATAATTTACAAATTTTAACTCTGAAACAACTTCCGAGAAAAACTAAAATACACTCTTATTTGGAAGTTTTAGAAGTTTTATGGTTAGGGGTTTGTACATCGCTTCGTTTGATGTGGTTACTATGAAAATTATGCTGCTCAAATAACGCAATTTGCTTTTAACGTTCATTATATGTAAATAGAGTAAATGTACTTTTATGATGTATAAACGCTTAAAAGCAATAAGTATGTTGCCTCGCCAAAGAGCGCAAGTTTACACATCGCATTATTATTTATGGCTCACTCGCAATAACGATAGATCGTCTTCTGAAGAAGAGGCGTCGTTCATCCTTTTTAGACGAACAACCCTTTAATACAATTCATTTTAATACGCGCGCAGTCGCTTAAAGTTATCATTTGTTTTATTAATTATCAGCATCAATTCAGAGAACGCTGAAAGACAAATGTTAGTGACGCGTCTCAAGCCCTAATTAATTAAAACTATGCTTCATCAAATTAGCATTTGCATTTTATGAACTAACATTAGAATCGGTTGATTTATTCCGTTGTTGATAACTTTCGTTTGTTTAATTACGAAAAACTTGATTCATATTATATTAAAATCAAAACTTGAAATTCAAGTCACAAATACAACAAAACGGAATCCGCTGGTTGTCTAATTTAATAGTACTGATTGAAATGCAAATCATTATTCCAATCCTTGCAATACAATCCCTAGTTATGTACCCTTACACAACATCGCTGTTTACTTAAACTTTCGGTAATTAGTAAGTTTTTGACCAGATTGTATACGCTTCCCACGTGTGCGTAAACTTCACTCGCTTTGAATTTTGGAGAAACAACGGACAGGTTTACTGTAAACATTTCAAGGCGATTTTCTTATCTTCATCACATTATACCGCACTTGCTATTTTCACTATAATTATTATCTACTGACTGCCATTTTGTACCTACCGGAAATTTACGGTCAACGGCCAATGCAAAGTAAGCGATACGGTAGACACCACCAGTGTAAGCCATACAGTGTTTTCTTACACAAATTACTATCGCACGTATTTACGAGTATTTGCAAACGCAAGAAAACACCAACATTCCCAAGCATCACCAATTAGTTTCATAAACGTTTAATTTTTGTTTATACCAGGAATATCATTTTAGTTATCATCTACTTCTCATAAACGATAAACTGTCCGCGAGATCAACGTTAAAATACTTTAAGTATAAACGTATATGAAACACGTTGAATAATTTTCAATAGAATAAGGTTATTTTTAGTTTCAAATAAACGTGTTTTGAATTTCGATAGATAAGTGGAATACACATATATTGGTTTTGATAATATACATATGTATACCTACCATAATATAGACAAAAATGTAGAAAAAAAGGAAATAGATTTATTATATTTTTGTTGATAAATAATAATGTATCATTTATGTCATTGGATTTTTAGAATTTTGAAACCGGTGGCTGGCTTGTTTTAACCAATCCTGACAAGCTTGTCCAATTGCTTTGTCGGTAATCTCTCCAACTATCGACCTATCCGCTCCTCCTGTTTGAAACGATATATTCGTCGCCTCTGTAATAAACGAATGACAAATTACATACCTATATGTCTACTATTCAAATCAAACATGCAATAGAGTAATCGAAAAGAATTTCAATTCAATATGTGTTACTACAGGACCCCCTTATTATATATTTAAAAAACCCGAAGTCTTTAGGTGGCCCAGGGGCCGAGATCTCGATGGAATAGACAGACAGATAGACGACGGGAAATCAAGCACAGAAGCGTTACCTCAAATTCGTTGTGTTACGCTAAATATATTTTACGGAGGAACCGGTATTTAATTACTTCACTCTTAGATATAATTGAGGCTACACTGACAAAAATTATGTGAATACGAAGCTTCGGCCGCCACCAGAAGGTAAAATCCCTTGCTTCTGCAAAAGGACGGCGGGATGGTGTCACGGGACGGTTACGGATGCCACAGCTGGTTCAGTCGCAGATAACGGTCTCTTCAGGGCTCCAAAAAGGTACGGTAAATACTGACGGAAAACCTACAGAATTACGGACGAACAACAAATTCCCAGAGCGGAGAGTAATCTATATAAGGAAGAGACAGAGGAACACACAAACCCCCTCAATTAATTCTAACGGTTGGTTTAAAATAATCACTCACCTTGGAAAAAATTAAAAGAATGCATGATGCGTTTTAGAGCGCGTACCTATTTTATTAATTCGATCATGTATTAAGGGAATGTTAGACTTTCCAGAAATGGCATCAAACTCTCATGATAACGTTAACATTCAAAACTTCTTTAATTAATTGTGCGGCCTGCTGGTGTTCTAAAAATCTGCAATTGGTATCGAAATTCAATGACGCAAAGTAGAAGAAAAGTATGGCGTGTATTCTCTTTGCAAGTCTGATCGAATGGTTTAGTACAGACAAGAAAAAAAAGATCACGGAATCATTTGCACGACCTCTAGCAGCGTAAATAAAGAACTATTATAAATCAAACCTGTAATACTGAACTAACTACATCTAAAGTAAAAGGGTTTAACAAAGAAAATACGTAGGTGACGCAAAAAGA